GGGCGGCGGCGGCAGGCGGCTCGCTCCCTCACTCGCGCTCCGCGCTCCGGCTTGCTGCTCGCTCTCCCCGACCGCCTCCTCCTCCTCCACCACCACCTCCTCCTCCTCTCGGCGAGGGGCGGGCGCCAGGGCGCAGGCGCGTTAGGCCGCGCGCTAGGCCCGCCCCCGGCCGGAGAGGCTCGCGCCGCCTCCCCATTGGCCGCAACGCCGGGACGAGGGGGCGGAGCCTCCGCGAGCAGACACAGGGCCTGGCGGAGAGGCGGGAGGAAGGAGCGCGGCGACGTCCGGGCCGGCCCCCTGCACCGCGCTCCCCTCCCCCGCTTTCCCCTTCCCCAGCCCGACCCGGGACATTTGCGCGCGCCGGGAGCGCGGCGGCCCGAGGGGCGGGGCTTCAGGGCAGCCCCCCCCCACGCCTGCGCGTCACGTGGTGGCGGAGTGGCTGCCCTAAGCCTGGCGGCGCGGGGCGCTGAGAGGGGTGTTCGCCGCCCCCTGGACGTGCAGGCCTGGCTTTAACCTGGATTTCCACCGGAGCCTGGCCATCCACCCGCCCTGGGATCAGCACTCGGGGCCTCTGGACGCGTCCTTTTTGGACGGCAGCACCCCTGTGCTATTCCAGGTGGGGAGGCTGAGACTCTGGCTTCTTTGCACACAGAGCCCGGCCGGTGTTGCCAGGTCTGGGTTCTGGCCCGCGCCCTGCCCTCGAGGCTGTGTACCCTTGAGCAGGTCAGCTCACTTCCCTCTGGATCCATTTGCAGCGGATGATAAACAAAAGCGGAAGTCCTCTGAAAGCAGGGGGACACCACACTTCACCACCACTCCCGGCCCAGCTCAGTGCCGGGTGCTCCCAAGAAACCACACTGGCGAGAAGCTGGCGAGAAGCAGGCATCAGTGGAACTCGCAAACCGCACGGGAGATACACGGGGCGAAGTTCCTTGCACAGCAAAGCTGAACCAGGACAGCAAGACCTGCTTCAGAGGCAAAGCCCTGCAAACCGCGCGTTCTATGGCCCAGGCATGTTCTTCTGTTTAAATTTTGCTCTCCAGCTAATGAACCGGCTCAGCTCTATCTTCCAGGATCTCATCCAACACCTGATCCACAAAAACCCAGAAATCTCTCCCTGATGTTTTTAACCAGAGTTTAAGCATCAGTACTAGCACACACCACATGCCAAGGGTGCCTGTGCCCCTACGCACATGCACACATACACACAGATGTACACACAAAGATATAAAGCAAAAAATCCACAATCAACCAGGAGGCTGAGAGTAAATAGTCATAATACTTAATGTAGGAACACTGAAAAGCAAACTCCAGGTGCTTGTGGCTCACAGCTGTAAATCCTAGATACTCAGGAAGCTGAGATCTGAGGGGCACGGTTGGGAAGCTAGCCCAGGCAGCACAGTCCATGAGACTTCTCTCCAATTAACCACCAAAAAGCTGGAAGTGGAGCTGTGACTCAGGTCACACAGTTAGAGTGCTAGCTTTGTGCACACAAAAAGCTCAAGAGACAGTGCCCAGGCCCTGAGTTCAAGCCCTAGGACAAGCACAATAAAAAGCAAAACTCAGGGGCTGGGAATGTGGATTGGTGGTAAAGTGCTTGCCTAGCATGCATGAAGTCCTGGGTTCAATACCTCAGCCACGAAAAAAGAAAAAGCAGCAAGTGGAGCTGTGGCTGAAGTGGTAGAGCACTAGCCTTGAGCAAAGAAGCTCAAGGACAGTACCCAGGCCCTAAGTTCAAACCTCAGGACTGGCAAAAAAAAAAAAATAAACACAAAAAGGAAAACTCAGAAAACTTGAGGGAATGGGTAAATTTGGGAGAGAGAGGAGAATGATAGAAGGGTGACATTGGTCAAGATGCACTAGATATAAACTGATGCAATGAATTTAAACACTTTTGTACAATGTTTAAAGATAAAAATAATTGGACTGGGAAGGTAGCTCAGTGGTAGAGTGTTTGCCTGGCATGCATGAGGCCCTGGGTTTGATTCCTCAGCACCACATAAACAGAAAAAGCTGAAGTGGTGCTGTGGCTCAAGTGGTAGATGGCTACCCTTGAGCTGAACAGCTGAGAGGGACAGCGCCCAGGCACAGAGTTCAAGCCCTCCCCTCCCCTTCCCCCCCACAAAGAAAAAAAAAAGATAAAATAATTCTTTTTTAAAATCCACAATCAGTTCTTATGAGCAATGTTTCCTCTTCCACACTACTGAAGCATGAACAAGAGTCACAGGTTGTGATAACTTCATACAGTTTTTACTTAAACCTCACAAAATACAGATTAAGTCTTAATATCCTTACTCCACAGATAAATTTTTAAGTTACTGGGAAAAACCTTGGTTTTGTAAATGGCAGGCAAACACCCTTAAGACCAAACCACACCCCAAAATAACTTATAGTAAGTGAAAGAACCAAGATTCTAAACCAGTATTTTTGCATTTTTACTTTTATATTTTGGGGTGCTGACGATGAAACCTAGCAGTAAATACTTAGGCTCTTCCACTGAACTACACATCAACTACACACATAGACCCCTTTCTTCTTTGTAGTACCAGACTGAAAACAGGACTTCTGGCCTGGAGCATCCGAAGCAAGTGCTCTACTACCTGAGGCCTAGCCCTGTTGCTGTTTTCTTTTCTTCTGGGGAATAGGAGGCAAAAAGGGATTGAACTCAAAACCTTATTGTTTTGTGCCAATCCTAAGGCTTAAACGAGCTTGGCTTCATATTGCAATCCTCAGGTCTCAGCCTCCTGAGTAGCTAGGATTCTAGGCGTGAGCCATCAGAACCCAGATCAAAACTTTTATGTTAATTTTGTTTTTGAAACATGGTCTCAGTAACTTTCCCTGGGCTGGACTCCATGTCTGGCCTTTAGGCTGGGAATGTGGCTTAGTGGTAGAGTGCTTAGCATGCATGAAGCCCTGGGTTCAATTCCTCAGAACCACATAAACAGAAAAAGCCGGAAGTGGCGCTGTGGCTGAAGTGATAGAGTGCTAGCCTTGAGCAAAAAGCAGCTCAGGGACAGTGCCCAGGCCCTGAGTTCAAGCCCAAAGACTGGCAAAAAAAAAAGGGGGGGGGAATGGGAAGGAGAAACAAAGGAGGAGGCAACAATGCTTGATAAAAAAATGTGGGCTGGGCCGGGCGCTGGTGGCTCATGCCTGTAATCCCAGCTACTCAGGAGGCTGAGATCTGAGGATCTCGGTTCAAAGCCAGCCCGGGCAGGAGAGACTGTGAGACTCCTATCTCCAATAAACTACCAGAAAACCGGAAGTGGCACTGTAGCTCAAGTGGTAGAGCGCTAGCCTTGAGCTGAAGAGCTGAGGGACAGCGCCCAGGCCCAGAGTTCAAGCCCCACAACCGCAAAAAAAAAAAAAAAATGTGGGCTGGGATGTAGCTCAGTGGCAAAGGGCTTGCCTAGCAAGTGCAACGTCCTGGGTTCGATCCCCAGTACCAAAAAAGAAAAGACAAAAAAAATACAGTTAAAAAAAAAAAACCAGGGCTGGGAAGGTGGCTCAGTGGTAGAGAGCTTGCCTTGCATGCATGAGGCCCTAGGTTCAATTCCTCAGCACCACATAAGCAGAAAAAGCCAGAAGTGGTGCTGTGGCTCAAGTGGTAGATTGCTCGCCTTGAGCTGAAGAGCTCGGGGGCAGTGCCCAGGCCCAGAACTGGCAAAAATAAATAAATTAATTAAAAAACAAACAAAAAAAATGTACTCAAGGGGGGCTGGGAAGGTGGCTCAGTGGTAGAGCGCTTGCCTTGCATGCCAGAGGCCCTGGGTTCGCTTCCTCAGCACCACATAAGCAAAAAAAGTGGCGCTGTGGCTCAAGTGGTAGAGCGCTAGCCTTGAGCTGAACAGCTGAGAGACAGTGCCCAGGCCCAGAGTTCAGGCCCCATGACCGGACCCCCCCCCCAAAAAAAAAATGTACTCAAGCCGAGCGCTGGTGACTCACGCCTGTAATCCTAGCTACTCTGGAGGCTGAGATTTAAGGATCACGCTTCAAAGCCAGCCTGGGCAGGAAAGTCCGTCAGACTCTTATCTCCAATAAACCACTCAAAAACCAGAAGTGGAGCTGTGGCTCAAGCGGTAGAGTGCTCGCCTTGAGCTGAAGAGCCCAGGGACAGCACCCAAGCCCAGAGTTCAAGCCCCACAACCCAAAAACAAAAAGTACTCATTACATTGCCCATGTAATTGTAACCCTTATGTACAGTATTTTCACAATAAAAAACAAAAAAGAATGTCTAGCCTTTTTTTTTGGGGGGGGTCAAGGGCTTAAACTCAGGACCTGGGCACTGTCCCTGAGCTCTTTTGCTCAAGGCTAGTGCTCTACCATTTTGAGCCACAGCACCACTTAATTTTCTGGTGGTTAATTGGAGAAAAATCTCAAGGACTTTCCTGCCTGGGCTGACTTCAAACCAGATCCTCAGCTCTCAGCCTCCTGAGTATCTAGGACTACATGTGATCCACAGATAGTGCTGGCTACCCTTCAATTTTGTATGTGTTTGTGTTTGCACACTGTGGCTTGAACTCAGGGCCTCCACTGCTGGAGACCTCTTCTATGAAGCCAAAGCACAGGTTGGTGTCAGTGACCCACCTGTTTCCCAGACCTCCAGGAACCCAGAAGGCCCCAGGAACCCTGTGATGTCTTGTGATCAGGCAGAGGGCTTCAAGGCTCCATTCCCTTCTTGCCAGCCCCGGTCCTGCCCTTCTTCCAGGCAACCCATAACCCATCAAGATGAATGCCAGGAAGTGGAAGAGAAAGAGAAAGCAAAAGGGCCAGAGAGCCAGTAAACAAGGGAGGGGCCAGGGCAGGCCTGGGCCCATTCAAGCAGTGAGCACGTGTATGGGTGCACCCACACACACCCCAACACCTGGCCCTGGGCCTTTTCCTCTCTAGCCTCTCACTTCACTTAGAATTCCTTTCTCAACTGGGCGCCGGTGGTTCACACCAGAAATCCTACTCAGGAGGCTGAGATCTGAAGATCGCTGTTCAAAGCCAATCAAAGCAGGAAAGTCCCTGAACTCTTATCTCCAATAAACCACTATGGCTCAAGTGGTAGAGCACTAGCCTTGAGCTGAAGAGCTGAGGGCCAGCGTCTGGGCCCAGATTTCAAGTCCCAACAACAAAAAGAATTTCTTCCTCTTCCTGGCTATCTTGGGAGGGGAGAGAACCCCAGAGGCTGCTGGGAAATCTTAACTAGGATACCTAGAGGAGTGCTGCCACCCTTCCCTACCACACTTCGGCAAACCTCTTTCTCATCCATAAAAAGGGAGATTTAAAAGATAAGCTGCTGTCCCAAGAATGGACAGGATACATACAGACATCCTGGGCACACAGCCTTGAAGGGACTGTGACTGTACCCTCACCTTCCTTCTGGTTATTTCTCCACAAAACTACAAGACCAGGTGGGCTTGCCCATGGTCTTTGCGGATCACAAGAAGACATTTACCACACATCTCAAGAGGACTGATTTGTTACTCAGGAGACTTGAGATCTGAGGATTGAGGTTCAAAGTCAATCCATGCAGAATTTTTCAGTGACACTCTTGCCTCCAATTAATGAGCAAAAAGACAAATTGAAGATGTGACTCAAGTGGAAGAACACTAGCCGAATACAAGCTCAGGGACAAACAAGCTCAGGCCCTGAGTTCAAGCCCCACGACTGGCACACATGTGGTACACACACACACACACACACACACACACACACACACACGAAGATTATTGGGTTAATCATACCAGACACTTGTCTGAAGTGCTTTACTTAGATGTCAGTCTCAGCAAGCATGAAGAGCCCAATTTACAGGAAAGGAAACAGCAGATTAATCACTGGCCCACCCCTCTACCCCTGGCATAGCCACAGCATGGTAGGGGGCCTCTGACCCCCATCTGGAAGGTGAGGAACTGTCACCAATACCAGCACAAGTCCTCAGGAGCTCAAAGAGGACTCTCAGATGAACCCATCCTTCCAGTAGGTCTCGACCCCTCCATGAAGTTGCTGCTTTCCTGATTCAGCCCTATCCAATCTCTACCTGAGAAGACTCCACTACAGTGCCATGTGGCTGAGGAGACCTAATCACCAGAGCAATCACCATGTCTAGGTCCAGGATGTCTGAAAACACAACCCCATGTCCAAGTTTAAGCCTCTAACGAGGAGGACAAGGAAGCTGCATAAAGCTCACTGTTGAAATGCAAGGATGAAGATGGGTGCTGGTGGCTCATGCCTGCCATCCTAGCTACTCGGGAGGCTGAAATCTGAGGATTGTGGTTCAAAGCCAGCCTGGGCAGCAGAACCCATGAAACTCTCATCTCCAATAAGCCACCAGAAAACCAAAGTGGTGTTGTGGCTCAAAGTGGTGGAATGCTTTGAGCAAAAAGAGCTCAGGGACAGTGTCCAGGCCTGCAAGTTCAAGCCCCACAAGCGACCAAAAAAAAAAAAAAAGCCAGGAGAGTCGCTCAGATGGGGTAACTTTTGGTCAGCCAGGATCACAAAGGGGGGCTTCTCGAGGCCCAGGAGCTGAGGCTCAAGAGGTGAAAGCCCGCAAGAAGTGACTTTGCCTCAGTAGCTACTCAGGAGGCTGAGATGCGAAGAATCCAGATTCAAAGCCAAGCCTGGTGGCTAAAAACGAAGTTTGAGACTCCAACTCCAAAACAACCAGCCAAAGGGCAGGTAAGCCCTCCCTAGGACCCTCACCCCCAAAGTGACTTCCCCGCAGGTCTGGAGAGACCCTTCTTCACGGACGAACGGAGATGATGGCCGAGAGAAGGGTGGAGGGCATCCGGGAAATGGGGCGAGGAGAAGGGCGAGGCCTGCCCGCGCGGCGCGGGGAACGGGCCGGGCCGAGCGGGCAGGAAGCGCGAGTGGACTCCCCGACGGCCGCGGGGAGCATTTAAACCTAAGGGCGGTCACGTGACGCTCGGCCGGGCCGGCGGCC